ATGAAGAGGAAAATGCTTCGCATACACAAGGAGTTGCACTGATGCTGTCCAAACAAGCACAAAAGGCACTAATAGGATGGGAATCTCATGGACACAGGATCATCAAAGCATCCTTCAAAACAAAAAAAGAGCACATTACAATGAACGCCATCCAATGTTATGCACCTACCAACGACTACAATGACGACGTTAAATATCAATTCTACGAAAGGCTGCAGTCAATCGTCGAGAAATGTTCACCAAAGGATTTGACGATTCTTGTGGGAGACCTGAATGCCAAGGTTGGCATAGACAACACTGAATATGAAGACATCATGGGACGACATGGACTGGGAGAAAGGAACGAAAAGGTGAGAGATTTGCAAACCTATGTGCCTTCAACAAACTGGTCATCGACGAAACAATATTCCCACACAAACGCATTCACAAAGCCACATGGATTTCACCGGACCACACTACTCAAAACCAAATTGACCATATCTGTATCAACAAAAAGTTCAGAAGGACCATGGAGGATGTGAGAACGAAGAGAGGAGCTGGTATAGCTTCAGATCACCATTTGCTGGTCGCCAAAATGAAACTGAAGCTAAAGAAGCACTGGACAACGGGACAGACAACATCACAGAAGTTTAATACAACCTTTCTTCGGGATACCGTAAAACTCAACGAATTCAAGATAGCCCTCACCAATAGGTTCCAGGCCTTTCAGAATCTACTCAATGGAGAGGAAGCAACATTGGAGTAAAACTGGAAAGGGATTAAGGAGGCAATCACTTCAACATGTCAGGAGGTCCTTGGTCGCAAGAAGCACCATCACAAGGAATGGATCTCTGTTGGTACTCTTGAAAAAATTGAAGAAAGGAGGAACAAGAAGGCAGCAGTGAATGTCAGCCGAACAAGAGCAGAGAAATTTAAGGCGCAAGCCGAGTATACAGAAGCAAACAGGAAGGTGAAGAAGAGCATCAGGGCTGACAAACGAAAATATGTGGAAGATTTAGCAATGACGGCGGAAAAGGATGCAAGAGAAGGAAACATGAGACAATTGTACGAAACAACAAAGAAGCTCGCCGGGAACTATCGTAAACCAGAACGACCAGTGAAAAGCAAGGAAGGCAAAGTAATCAGCAACACTGAAGAACAGCGGAATAGGTGGGTAGAGCACTTTAAGGAACTCCTGCATTGACCAGCTCCACTGGACACACCCAACATCGAAGCAGCATCCACGGCCCACCCAAATAATATTGGCGCACCTACGATTGAGGAGATCAGTATGGCCATCAGACAAATCAAGAGCGGCAAATCAGCAGGACCAGACAACCTTCCAGCAGAGGCAATGAAAGCAGATGTAGAAGCAACTGCGAAAATATTTCACAACCCCTTCAAGAAGATTTGGGATGAGGAACAAGTACCATCAGATTGGAAAGAAGGATACCTGATTAAAATACCAAAGAAAGGCGATCTGAGCAAGTTTGAGAACTACAGGGGCATCACTCTTCTTTCAATACCAGGCAAAGTCTTCAACAGGGTATTGTTAAACAGAATGAAGGACTTCGTAGACGCCCAACTTCGAGATCAACAGGCTGGGTTTCGTAAGGATCAATCAAACTGCAACATTACGGATCATTGTGGAACAATCAATTGAATGGAACTCACCACTCTATATCAACTTTATCGACTATGAGAAAGCATTTGATAGCGTGGATAGGAAAACACTGTGGAGGCTTCTTCGACACTACGGTGTGCCTGAGAAAATAGTCAACATCATACGGAATTCTTATGATGGGTTCAACTGCAAAATCGTGCACGGAGGACAGCTAACAGACTCTTTCGAGGTGAAGACCGGTGTCAGGCAAGGTTGCCTACTCTCACCCTTTCTCTTTCTCCCCTGATGATCGACTGGATTATGAAGACGTCAGCATCTGGAGGGAAGCACGGTATCAACTGGACAGTTAGGACGCAGCCGGACGCTCTAGACTTCGCAGATGATCTGGCTCTTCTATCTCACACGCAACAACAAATGCAAGAGAAGACGACCAGTGTAGCAGCAGCCTCAGCAGCAGTAGGTCTCAACATACATAATGGAAACAGCAAAATTCTCCGATGCAACACAACATGCACCAACCAAATCACTCTTGATGGAGATGCCTTGGAGGACGTTAACAACTTTACGTATCTTGGCAGCATCATCGACGAGAAAGGAGGATCGGATGCAGATGTGAGAGCGCGGATCGGCAAAGCGAGGGCTGCGTTTCTACAGTTGAAAAATATCTGGAACTCCAAACAAATATCAACCAAAACCAAAATCAGGATTTTCAATACAAATGTCAAGACAGTTTTACTGTATGGAGCGGAAACTTGGAGAACTACGAAAGGCATCATCCAGAGGATACAAGTATTTATTAACAGCTGCCTACGCAAAATACTTCGTATTCGTTGGCCAGACACTATCAGCAACAACCTACTGTGGGAGAGAACAAACCAGATCGCAGTGGAGGAGGAAATCAGGAAGAAGCGGTGGAAGTGGATAGGACACACTACGAAAAGCACCTGACTGCGTCACAAGACAAGTCCTGACGTGGAACCCTCAAGGCAAAAGGAGAAGAAAAAGGTTAATGAACACATTACGCCGAGAAATAGAGAAAGATATGAGAGGAATGAGCAAACATTGGACAGAACTGGAGAGGGAAGCCCAAGACAGAGTTGGTTGGAGAAAACTGTTAGGGGGCTTATGCTCCATTGGGGGTAAGGGTAACAGCCGTAAGTTGAGGAGAGGCTTACAAAAAATAATCTGGAATTCGAAGGTGATCTAGCTCTTATATCCCAGACGCAACAACAAATGCAGATGAAAAGAATAGCAGCAGTAGATCTCAACATACACAAGTCTAAAGCAAGATCCTCCGGAACGACACAACATATACAAACCAAATCACACTTGACGGAGATTTGGAAACCCTTGCTCCATTGGGGATAACAGACGTAAGTAATGTGTACGAAAAAGTGAAAAAATTCTCGGAAATAAAATGAATCCAAAGGATATAATGTGTGAAATAATAATGAAACAAAATTTAGATTGAAGGCTACGTTAACTACTGTTGCCAATCGATAATCACATAGCCTGTTTACACCTATCGACAGACAAGCATAGTCTTAACTATTCAGTCAGTCAGTCATTCAGGGTTTCTAACCATCGATTATTATCATCTCGCGGACCCCAACCAAGTAGTCGACAATTACCGACATGACTCAGTCCACTCGTCAATGACTTCATGGATTTCTGCCATGTTTTGGTCTGGCCGCCCCTAGCTTTCTTCCAACCTACTCCTACACCACAAAATAAAGCTCTTCGAGGCAGTCGGTGGTTCGGCATACGCAACACATGTCCCAACCACCTCAACTGATGAAGTTTCACCACTTCATCTATTGATCTGCCATCCATACCTAGCGCCAGATTCCTAATAACAGTGTTGTTCACTCGGGTGTCCCAGGATATACGGGCAATGCTTGATCGAAAACCAGCAACCTATGAATATCTTCTACTCTCACTGGCCATGTTTCACAGCCATAAAGTAAGACGGAGCGAACTACTGCGCAGTACACTCGTCCTTTGGTCAGCAAACGGATATCTCGCCTACGCCATATGTGACGCAGGTTGGCAAAAGCCAATCAAGCTTTCTGTATCCGAGCTGAGATTTCGTCAATCACCAGGCCATCAGCACTGATGAGACTCCCCAGATAAGTGAAGCGGTCTACATGCTTGACTACTTCACTCCCTATCACTAGTAGTCTTAACTATTAGCAATGCTTCAAAAGCATTTAAACATCGAATACGGTAGAAAGTTGAATAAAGTAAACATGTTCCGATCGCTGAGCTGAGACAATCCATATAACTCACCAGAAACGTTATTACTAGAGCACAAACTAAAAGCCGAACGGGATTTTTTTTTAAAACTTCTAGATACCGATGACTTTACAACATCATAGGGCAAAAGTGTGTTACATTGACAGCTGCGATGGATTTTAACCGTAAGCCTAACTAATCAGAATGAAGTTTTATGTTACGAGAGCATTATGATTCGCATATCTAGGGTTTTAAAATTTTTTACGAACTTAATCAGGGGATGATTATCTGGATATCAGATCGTAAATCCTAGCGTCCCTGACGCTCTTAAACCCTAATTCCAACTCATCAACATAAACTGGATAGACTTGAACAACTCAATCTTAATGATTACATTTTCACCGCTTATATTACATTGCGCAAGAAAATCATAATGATGATGAAGTTATTAAAAACAACTGTTCGCTCATATAATCTTTTTGAGTATTTATTCTATGGGGATTTATAAATGATCTGACCGATCGAAAATCCGAAATCTAGTCGAAAACATGATATCCAGCAGTAAGCGCGATTTACGATAACGTTTTAAATTCGTGATAATAGTTAACAATGATTCGATTATTTTGATTGGTTGCTCAAAACCACAATATCTTTAGTAAAATTATGCGAAAGCATTCAATGAAGACATACGAAGGACACATTTATTCATCGATGCACTCTTATATATATGAATATGTGTATGATGGTTAGTGCACAAGCTACAAATCGTGTCATAAAAGATTTTCAAAGAGAAAAATTGATCACCCAATAATCCATAAAATAAATCTACTTCACTACTTTTGTAAGGAAAAAAAACAAAAACGCCGAAAAAGAACAACATTTGCAACAAAGATTATTTTTATTCATTCATAATTACACATAAAAAAATTGCAACCTATCGAAATCAGTTGTAAATGGTGTGTATCAAAGTGGTAACACAAAAATTATCCAATAAAAACATAAGATCATAAGGAAAAAAAATTCCAACAGCAGTGTATATAACCAATTATATATAGTGGCTTGTGTGCATAGATTACCCGTTATAACTTTACACACTTTCAGTTTTTCTTCTGTTTCTTATTCTCATCGGCCACTTTATCGATAATATATACTTTTGTGAAAATCAATCGTTATGTGAATGACAAAATTCTAATAGTTTATCACATAATTGAGATGATCGATGACATAATTTGGCTTTGTTTAAAACTTTAATCACCAGATTTGAAGCAAATTGATCAATTCGTAGGATAACACGTGATACACTGGCACGGATTCGTGGGTTAGGATCATCTAAATGAATAATGAGGTTATTTAAGAAATCTTCTATAACAGCAGTATAGAGTGGATTTAATTGATGAGATGTTTTATTGGTTGTTGTTGATGATGATGATGATGATGTTAACATTGGAAAAAGTAAACGAATCCATGCATTGATTGTTTCACAGATAAGTAATCGTATCTAGTTATAAATTCGGAAAAGAAAATAGAGGGAATAAACTGTTTTAGATCGCCTTGAATTAGTGATAACCGATTATTTTTGCGTGTTAACTTGTACTACTTACTAAAATTCAATAATTTATTACAGATTCGATCAATTTGAGGATGTAATGGTTAACACATCTTTGTTGATTAGATGAACATGTGATATTTTTCGCTTTACAGTTCCTTCACATTTAAGTAGTTACTTCCGATTCTTACACATTCTTTCAACTGTTGTTTGGATATAAAAGCTTCATTTTGTGTTATTTAGCTATTGTTCGGATTGTTAACAATTATTGTGAATAGAGACATAGCTACAAGCTGTTGTTTGGATTATTATATGTTCATAAATAATCTTCGTATAGCTATTTCAGGAAACATTAGTCTCTGGATTACATACATTACGTAAAAACGCTATGGATACATGCAGAACTGAAGTGTGCAGATATTTCAAGATGTTTTTTTTAATAATACGATTCCTTTGTTCCGAATCCTGGGATTTTGTGCGTGACTAGGTTGTTTGGTTAGACGCTCTAACATATTTAATATAAATTTCTAAAATACCTGAGATCAGAAAAGTAATGCATTAATAATAATAATAATAATTCCTAGGCTTGAATACCTCCACACCACTTAATTCAGTTTGAGAAAGAAGATAGTATAAAAAAACTCCTACATTTAGAGAACGGTTTGATGTCATTCAAGTCAATGAATCGGTTGTTGTTAAATGGATATAACGAGTATAATTATAATTTTTCTAGCGTTACGGACCCACAAATCTACAGTAACAAGTTAAAGTACCGAGTTGAAGAGTGATCTATGATGCTAGTCAGACGTAGATGAAACAAAACACGAGACTAAGTTAAATCGATCCAACGAAAAACAAATATGGGATTAACATAAGAATCTTCTAGCCTTTGATTCATTCACCAGCCTGGTGGTAAGAGCATAAAGTAGTCATGACGCCATCCTGCTAATAAATGCTATTATCTAGAAAGCCTCAGGCAGAAAGTGTACATTTAAAAACATGGCTCGGATCGGTATCCAAAGATGTTATTATCTTCGTTTTAGCCGTCCCCAGTCATTTTCCTACCTGCTCTTATTTTATTCATAATAATTTATTATGGTATGTTAACAACATGACACAACTACATAAATATCTATAAATCTATTTTGTACGATGCTCAATTTTGATGCTGATAAACTAGCTGTTTATCTTTCAGCATTAATTGGACAGTAGCACTCTTTACATTATATAATATTCAGCTTACAAGTGACTTGTGCTTTGATATGTTAATTTAGTTTTAGAGAGAATTTGTGCAAGAAAGTCGTCACCTACAGTAATGTAAAAATCGTTGCGCTAAACCATAAATTGATTGAATTTAAAATTGCATCCTGGGACCAGATTCGTCATGAGATCTGATAGCCATAGGTTTGTCAATTGTGCATGTTGTGCACTGCTGCAGAGCTTTATAGCAGGAAGAAACAGCAATCCAGTGCTATCTAATTTTTAATTATTTTCCGAGATCGATTTATGGTGAATACAACTGGTTATTAGATGATTTAGTGAAGGCCAAGTTGAGGAGCGCTAACCGGTTTATTTTTAGGCCTACTGGCCCCTATAAGTAGTCAGAAAAGTTATTTGATTTCCAAGTTAATTTTACAGAAACTAAAATTTCACTACTGTATTTTTTGCGACTCAGATTTTAGCAAATACATATATTTGTTTGCTTTAAAATTTCAGCCCAAAATTGGGACTATTCAAGTGAAATATAGCATCTACAAAATACTAAACAGTTGAATTATAAAGTAAAGCTCGATTCGTGTGAATTGAATACACTGCTGAAATTCGAAAGACAAATTTTGTAGAAATAGCAATAGACAGAATAAAATTGAAACGAACCATTTACAAAACCATGTGACTAATTATTTTTTCGTCCTTAAATGTACACACATATTCATTACATCAAATTGATGTTTATGCATTAAATTGTATTACTGTCAATATACTAAAAATAATAATAATAATAATAATAATAATAATAATAATAATAATGGTAATAACAACGATAGTAATCAAGGTCGAAAAGAGAAAATTGAAATTTACCTGGTCTTTCGAATCATTTAGACGTTTGATAAAATTACCGTAGAAACGATAGACGTGATCACCAAATGAATTGGCCAGTGGACAATAGGGCAATTGTAAATTATTGTCTTTAGGTAATTCATGATTACAGATGCTACTACTACTACTACTACTACTACTACTACTACTACTACTACTACTACTACTACCGCTAATAGTATTGGTATTAGTAAGAGGTTGAATCCATGTAACGGAATTGAGAAAATCTACACATCGATTTTCTTCACAATCATTTCGCTTATCATTAGATAACTTTGCCGTTGATGATGATGATGGTGAGGGTATAAGGAGACCATTAAAAAATATTGTTAAACAAAGACAAGCTAAACGTCTAGTCCCTTCCAAATCATCATCTAATAATGAGCCTAAACGTGCCAACATCAAAGATAACAAAGAACTAGATAAATTTGGCAGATTACTATATTTTGGAATGGATGGTATTTCATTTTTAGCTGTAAATAAAGAAATAAATATGAAAAATGTGTGAAATGATTATAACTATTGATTTTTTTAAAGTTAATTTACACCACGGACAGACGATACCAGTTACAAGAACTAAGGACTATCACACACAAGATGGAATACATAGGTCAAATGGTAAGCACAATTTCTTTACACACAAGTTGGAAGTAAAGCTCTAGACAAGTACAAGCAGATCGATCAATTAGTGAGGTTGTAACTATGGAAAAGTAGGTGGATTATTCCTAATGTGCATTATAGGACCACTGTCTATCTTAAGGTGCGAGGATGGTAAAAGTTGGACTACATTGGGAAAATGTAATTATGGTTGGGCTAAACCAAAGTTCACTATATGTAATATTATGTGCTGAACTGTGGTTATCCGTAAATACGGTATTTTATTGTTATTAATATGTACAAATATAATATGTAAACCATTACTCTATCAAATTATTCTTCGAAGAAATAATATTTAAACACTACATTATTCATATCGCTATTAGAAACTCAGTCTTCATGTCCAGTCATAGAATATTAAATACTAAAAGATCGCTTTTCATCAAAGAATACGTTTTTATGTAAATCACTTATGGACCAAAAACAAACCATAATGAACCACCAACTGCCTACTAATTACGAAGCGATTGGTCTTATCTTATGCATGATTTAACTCACTCAAGAAAAATAAACATTAGATGTGCAATATAAGAGGTCATTTTACACCGAATCCTAAGTACCAGCCCAAAACGAAACATAAACGTTCTTGATAAGTGGTCGAGTCAGCCAAATGCAAATCACTTTCAGAAAAGACTGCGACATTCGTACAATGTTACTATCCTAATTAACAGAATCTCAGTGTGTCTTCACATTGACACGGCATCTGATGTTACCCTGGCGTCTAGAAAAACATGTGACCAGCTTCGGAGACTACTAACGAAGCTATCTAAGACAGCGAAAAATGTATCAGGAAGTGAACTGCAACTTGTTGATGAGTTAAAATGCAAGTTTTCGTTCGATAGAATTAACTCCAAAGGAATAGGCTACTTAACAGACCAACCAAACCTTGATCTTCTGGGTTCAGTGTGTTAGAAAAACTTGGAATAATGTATATGCCTATTAACAGTGTCTGCAATATGCTGTGTTCATCATTGGACACTCCATAACTTCATGGAGGGGCATCACGTCTTGGTGCGCATCTCTTTGGTTTTCTTCCAACGTACTCCTACACCAAGCAATACCACCTATCGAGGTTGGTAGTGTGTGAACATAAGTTATACATGTCCCAACCACCTCGGTTGACGATTTACTGCCTCATTATCTCATACCTAACCTCAGCATATCACACTCACTGGTCCCAAAATGCATAAGCGATGCTTTGAAGACACTTGTGACTGAATACTAGCAACCTACGGAGATTTTCTATTCTTTATCGCCATGGTTAACACGCATAAAGTAGAACTACTGGGAACTACTGAATAGTAAACTTGTCCTTAGGTTGGTAGACTGCGAAATTTAACAGTTTCTACACATCTATTATATTAATACAGAAGATTAACTTACCATCATCATTCTTATTGCCAATATTATCACTGACTTCCTCTTTGCTTGATAACTCTTGCATAATCTCATGCATCGATTCAATGTTATTAGTTAAAAGCCAATTATCTATGTTGATTTCACTGTTAGTTCGTAAATTCAAAACAAGTTCAGAAAAATGATGCATTGATACAGCACTGGCTAATAATGCTAGAAAACTTGTAATAGCTGCCTTTCTCATTGCTTCCGATGTACGACCAGCTCTCCATACACATACAGGTAAAATCAATTTAGAAAAACAATAATTCAAATATTTTGGTGATGATAATACTATCTGAAAAATGAAAACAATTAAAGATTAAAATTGAGACATGTGGTAGTTACCCGCCAATAATATGATATGAATTGAAGTTGGTGTGTCGTTGGGTAATAACTTAGTGGTCTAAAAGTTAAGAGCCAACTGCAAGATTTGAAGGTCCTAGGTATGATCCACAGTGTATCAGTGGATGTGCACTGATGCAGAGTACTATACTAAAAGACAGCCTTCAGTACTTCTTAGCTACCAATAGTTGCATAAGGTCAGTCTGTAACATAAACTACGAAAGAAGTGAAGTGATATGTTAGTTGTTTATCAATTAAAGTGTCAATCTTCAAAACATTTAAAAAGTAGAGAGGTGGATTAAAAACCGGATTAAACCATTTGATGTATGGATCACAATCCTTAACATGTAAAATGAACGATGTGGCTTGATGACTAGCAAGTAAATGGAAAACAGGTTCCCGGCTTGGAGTTTACCAGTAATCTTCCCAAATAATCACAATATCAGTTTACGAAGTCAATGACCGAGGTTAGAGCCATTCAGTGACAAGGCTGAGAATCGGTAGCAGTGGAACATACGAATTCACACTTTATGTATTGCATTTTCAAACAATTTTCATACTTTTCTTCTGTAAATTCATTTTTTTATGCTCGGATCCTATATAATCTATATTGAATCTTTTCAACTACCTTTAATACTGTTACTACTTCTACTACTCTGAAACTTGTTTTGATAATTTTATCTACCTTATTGAAGTGTGTTAATTGATTGGAAAATGTATGACCGATCCTATCTTCAAACTTCCATACGTAAAACAAGCGGACTATCAGCTGTCTTCTTTCACATGTCTTCTGATCTTCAGAACACTGCTAGTACCATACATGCAGATCCGACATTTCGCTTGAACAGTACTTTCAGGGCGACAGCCCGCTGCATATGCACTGCATACTACTTATAGACCACATGGTGAGTGATTTATTTTTATTTTCTTTTATCATATCATTCTTTTCTGTTTGTTTTTTGTACATAAGAGGTAAGGTGTTGACAACTGATTGGTCAATGGGTAGTGACTAATGCTATATGTGTCAAGTTCTTCATGGTGTTGATCAAAGCCTATCGATCAAGTTGCAATATGGCCACTGACCTAGGTGAGTGGACACTAAGATTATATAGGCACAGCTTTCAGACGAGTGCCAAAAACACGAAACCTAGATGTGTGGTTTTCTCTCGACTACCTCCAGCAACCACCTTATACAATAAGCAGTAAGGTGGTCACGGGATTATATTTGTTGATAGTGTTGAAGTCTTCTCTAATCTAATTTTTCGCAGAACCTTTTTTATTGGTTAACATTAATTTTAGTTTGATAACTGTCGTTATGTTTAAAGGTTATGTTTCGGTTTCTACGTATACTAAATTGTATTATTTCAAGTTGTTCTGCTTGAATAATACGCGAACTTTGTCTTTTTCCTGAGTTATCAAGTAACCAATGAAACGGTGTGTCAGACGGTCTATTTATTGAGGTCTATATCTGTTACTGTCTGTATTAGGAAATTCTAAATCATTAGTAGATAAAATATACTGAAAATGCATCAACCAAAAATCCTGATAAGCAACAATAAGTAAATTATTTCATAGTAAAAGGAAACCCTACTCTTCCGGCAAATGATCTTTTTTTTACTTCAAATTGTCAACTCCACGGCCAGCACGAGTGGGTCGCCGTCCACCGACAGCCGCGCCTCTCGGAACTTCTGCAGGGCGTCCTGCCTATCCGCCGGGCTGTCGAACTTCAACAGCAGCCTTTCCGTCACCGCCTTCCAGTCAGCGTCCTCCACACTATCGTACACCGCTCTCGCCCTGCCTCTTAGTAGAGTCCCCAGCACCACCGCCTTCGCCTTCCGTTCCTTGACTCCGACCAGCTCCGCCACAGCCTCGAACTCCTTCAAGAAGCTCCTTACATCTCCGTCTTCAAACTCCCGAGGCCACGGTATCTTCATCCTGTGTAGAGGCAGCGACACCAATTGAGAAGACTGAGGCAGGCTCAATAGATTGTATTTGGCAAATTTATACTCTTAGTCAATTAAAAATGATAACATTACATTGAACACTCCATTTGCACACCATCTTTGAGTCCTGACTTCCAACGCTCCAGCCTTCTTCCATTCCTGCTGCTGCTTCCTTTACTTCCTGTCGATGCTCTATTTATTTCTTGTTTTTGTTCTATTTGCTTTCCGGTTTCCTCTTCTGACCGTGAGACTTCTTCTTTCACGTCCATTCTTATACTACTTATATCGTTCGTATAAGTAGCACACACCACAAAATGACTAGAATGTCTAAGTCAACAACTTGCTCAAGTGAGCAGCCATCAACCAGTTAATTCTCATGATTAACAGTTATCTATCAATCTATCTATCGCTACTGGCCAGAATACTTTTTTTTATTCTAAGTTGGAAATTTCTTCAGCAAACCATAAAAATAACAATCTACAGAGAGTTGAAATAACACTAGCAATAATCAGAAATATCAAACAATAAGAAAAAAGTTCGAAGAGAAAGAATGAAAGTGTATGTGCATGAAGAAAAAAATGAAACTCAAGATTACTAGATTAATTGGTTAATATGAGAAGTTTTAGCTCTCTATCTGATATGAATAACATTGAACAAGTTAATGTGAGTAGTGATATTTAGTAAACAATCTTATACTGAACTAATGTCAGGAAGGTGAAAAAAAAAACAATCTGGTTCTATTTAAGATGAATTTTACTTAGAAAAAAAAGGGGCACCACTGCCATCATGAGTACACGTAATTACTCAAATTATCAACTCATTGACACAGATACTACACACACATTGTAGTAACACTTGACTAGGATTGGCCACACTATGGTCGTTCAAACCAAAGTATGAAGGGCCGGGTTTCAAACCTGTGACTTAATAATGGTCGTCAGTGCAATGTTTGCAAAAGTGAGCTAGCTACTAGCCTACAAAACTAGTAAATAAAATTTATGCAACAATTGTATCAATCTTCAGGTCATTATTATCATGTAAGAAAATCTAGTATTGAATGATGCACAATTCAGATCATTTGAGTGCCTGATCTGATAGCCGACAGATGTGAAGGGTTGATACAAACCCACTACTTACTACTTACTACATACTACAATATGTCGTAATAATAATAATAACAATAATAATAATAATAAACTTACCCTAATTTGACTATTGTCTGTTAATTTTGTAAGTAACATTAAACCACGTAGACGAAGTTCAGCTTCACTGGCCAATGTTAGTGGATCCGTACCGCCGGGTGACTTATCCAAATGACTACTACAAGTATCAACACCACCACCACCACAGTTACCAGGAGCACAATTTAGTCGACAACCACGTTCTAAAAGATCCAGTACAGCTGTTAAACATTCTTTATTAGTTTGACTATTATTATGTTGACTATTAAATGTAAATAATAATGCTGATCCAGTAGCTAATTGCAAACAACGTGAAAGTATAGCTAATCCAAATGAATGTGGATGCCATGAAATAGATTTTTTTAAATCTTCATTTAATCTATCAATTAACTGATTGGGGTAAGAAGAATACAAAACACGATTAAATGAAAATGAAATTTCGCATTTACATTACATTAAATATGAGCATTTTTAATTAGGTTTTCGGATAGAGACAGGTGACATTAACTCAGTGTAATCGAATCATATTATTTAGAAGTTACTATTAATTTATTGCATACATTTTCCTGTATTAAATTTATTTATAAATCAATTTACCAGACACAAATTAGTATATTTCGTTTTGAGCCTTCAGGCTGTCGAAATCGAAGTAGTTGAAAGTACTATTAATCTAATTTATGAACTTTTTGAGAATTTATTGTCGTCTGTCTTCACATAAACTCTGTACTTCACCACACCCTTCAGGAAGATATCTGAATAATATTCCAAACAAATAGTATAAATTACATATGCATGGATATAAGTGGTTTATCAAAACGCTCAAAAAATTGATCATTAAGCTTTGATAACGAACAAAACATGAACTAACTTTAGGCATACAGCTGTAAAACAGCTGATCCATGTCACTAGTCGGTGTTGAATTTACTTTTAAGTCCTGATTTGGGAGATGGAATTGTTCGGATAATTTTATACAGTCTCGATGACAAACTGCCAACTTTTGCATAAGTTTATCACATGAATTGAGTACTGTACGACCGAAATCTGATGATATTATATCATTTTCTGGCCAAACTGCACCCAATCCAAGAATTATCTCAAATAACCATGAACGAATCTAAAGTAAAAATGGGAAAAATTGTTAAGATTCCACATTCAGGGCAATATATAACGGGAATAACAGACATCGACCATTTCAAAAACTGACGGTGTTCATTGCTTTTGTTCAAATCGTAAAGTCGAAATATAGTGCACAACGTAGGAACTAGTGGAACGGAATTCAGAAAACATATTTAAACCACAAAATACAATGTTATACTATGATGATACTGAGCTATTATCACTGTGCCCGAACAAATTGCAGTACCAAAAAGTTGATGTCACTGGATATCAGCAATACTTCAGAGACAACGATGATCAAACACAGAAAGTCACTGGATATGTTCAGCTTGAGTGGGTGAGGTTTGAAAACACACAGCAAACTTCAATCAGCAAGACATAAACCAACCTTAAACATCCGGACAAACATCACGACGACATCAAACATGACCCAGATCGCAATAAGCCGCACTTGATGCGACCGGTTACGGGGTATATACAGTTACTTGGTACACGTAGTAAATAACTCAACTAGTCAGCTTGAGGTAATCTAAACAACGTAGCTTAACGGTCTTGTAAAGACACAAACTCCTGATTTTTTTTATATTTGGTAGCAATATTCAATATATATATATATATATATATATATATATATATATATATATATATATATATATATATATATATATAAGTTGTTTTTCGCAAGCATTCGAGTGATACACGACTTCATACATAATATTATGAAAAATGTCATACAACTAACATACCTGGCTATCCTGAACAACTAATTTCGCTGCATCATAAGTAGCTTGAATGATATTTTTAGGACCATCATCATTCAGCTGTAAAGTATCCCATTGATGTTTTGGTTCCGGTTTTAATAAAGCAACTGCTTCTTCTATATGTTTAATACACACTTGGACACATTCTAATAGACCTACTTTAGAACTAAGCGACATGGCAGAAACCAATTCATTTTGACAAAGATAGGCAATAATCTTATGTAATGGGCTACAATTAGTTGGTGTGTAAGTTTCCTTGACGTAATTACTTTCAATTTGGCAATCGTTATGCCCATTACTTTCCTCATCATGAATACTAAGGCCAGTATCATTATTATTATTATTATTATTATTATTATTATTATTATTATTATTGACGGGAGAATTAGCAATCAGAACAGAACAGCTATTCAATGATGAATTATGTTTGAACTCGTTCATTTCGTTGATTTTTATCAATTGATTCAGTGGACTACCACGAAGTAAACCAGATAAAAGGAGTAAATGTCCAGCTAATGATGATGGTGCAGTAGATTCAGTGCAACGAGCAAGACATGGTTCCAGTAAATGCCACCAAAACTGTAAGAAAAAAACAAACATCATTGTGAAAAAAAGTTATATATATATATATATATCTGAATAAATAATCAGTCAGTCAGCTACAACGTAGAACATCGTACGCACGTACATCAGTTCAAGTTGCCACACCATATTAGCACAGAGATGCAATTGTCCATTCAAATCCCATAATAGTAGAGGTAGTAGAAGTATTAGCAGTAATCAGAGAGATCAGGGTTCTAAGTATAATTCAGTGAAATCAATTCAAAAAGAGAAAGATAGAGGTGGTGAGGAATTCAGAAGATCAGAATTTCAGAGAACACAAGGAGTGGATGCATCAATGCAAACGATTTCGAACCATGTCATCTAAGGTCTCTAACCATCGGCTACTCTTGTCTCGCGGACCCCAACCAAGTAGTCTGAATCTACCCGCATGACTCAGTCAAGTTATTAAGAGGTATAGGAAAGATTTGATTGTGAGCAAGTTGATCTAATGTGCTGTTGCAGGTTTCAAGAGACCAGTAATAACGTTTCGTGTACTCTAATCGTTTGTATCAGCCGTGCCAGGTGATAAAGCTATGTGAGGTTTGGTCACGGAGGTAAGAGGGTTATTAAGAAGTGAATGAAGGAATTGATCGTAAGCAAGTTGATCTCGTGTGCTGTTGCGGGTACGAGGGTGAATGTCACTTCTCGGCTAACCACACTATGGAAGGGTATTTCTTGAGCAACCTGAAAAGGAAGTTGGATTAGCGTTGATCATAGCGACCTGAGAGCAAAAACGCATCACAAAAGAGAAGACTGCTTGAAGCTGATTAGAGACAGCCTTTTAATTGGGAGTTTTTGTAACTCGTTAGCTCCGCTCCTCAAATGGCCTTACCGCCGGAGACGGAAATCTCTGGGTTAAGGTGAGGTGTGAAATTTTGAACGTCGACCTATTCTAACCCCTTCCTTCCGTCCCGAGAAGGCATAATCGCTGCAAGTGCTGTCACACCACTCTGCAGTCAACAATAATACGACTTCGCCGTCAGATCTTCAGTTGCTGCTTTTAGTCTTATCATTTTCCAATCGGCCTGTGTCGCATGGTAGGACCTAAAAGAACATACGCTCCAGCCAATATATCTCGGTTGAGTAATCAAGGTTTGCAAGCCCGACCACCACGTCAAGGTTGTGTCTACGATCGGGATTGCTTATTATCATCGTTATTGTTAGTACGGTTTATACACGAATTTCTATTAATTTTCGTTGTTTTCTTATTATACCTTTCCATATCTATTCACAACCTCATTTTTATTGTGTGGTGTAAATATATTTGGTGCCCCAATGTTTATATTTATATGAATAAATGTATTGAGTACAACTGTACAATTATATCAGCAAATTTCTTAACATCCTCCTGTATGGTTAACTAAGCGAGAATTTCAAACGATAGGTTTCTTTATCCCATGATAATTAGTCAGTACAGGTTACCACATAGACACAAATTTAGCTCTTACGGTTAACTCTAAAGAGCTCCGACAGACTTCTTCTAGGCTTCTAGAGTCTGTTTTACACACAGTGGAAGTCATGGAAATCCATATCAATGAATTTACTTTTTGTACACAGAAAAGTGTATACATTATTTTCATTTACCTTGGCCTATGCTTAGAAAAATATTAATAAGTATAGTACAAAAATATTCTTATTTTATGAATAAAACATTAGCGCGAACATCCATATTGATTAACTACTTTTTAACATATAAAATTTTTAATCAAATAAATTAATGAGACACTTGGTAATTTTGTATAACTGATGTTTATCATTAGTTGCTATATTTGTCTGAAGCATACTTTCAGAGAATTAATCGAGTAATCCCATTTTGTATGTAAACTCTCTAGCAATAGACGTCGGATTGATTTATTTAAGTTTAATGAAGTTCTTTTAGCTTACTATCATACTAAACAAGAGAATATATAAGCACATATATTCCATTCGACAGTTCCAACAAAATGTGATTTTTCTCATGAAACCCAATTCACAGTGAATATTAGAAAAGTTATTCTTTTCGTAATTTACCTTATTTCAACAAATCAAATATCAATTTTGTCTTAACGTCAATTGTATGTTTAGGTTGAAGTCGTTTCTTCTACAGAACTTTCATTAGGCTCTCTGATATGGTAATAATGGTTGGTGACTTCAATGCTGAAGTAGATAGAAAGGAAAGACACCTGGGTGGATCTTACGGTGTCGCGGCTAATAGGACAGATAATGGCGACCGTCTGCTGCAACTATGCTCAGATAACCGTCTATTCCTAGCAAACACTAACTTAAAGCATAAGGAAAAACATCTTTAGACCTGGTGACCCTCAAAGTCGACCAAACTAGATCACATCGCTTTAAGCCATCGGTGGAGAGGCTTTAATGAAAACTGCGCTTATTCTAGAGCACTTGTTTAGACTCAGAATATGCTCTAGTGCGAGTGCGTATTTGTTTGCGACTTATTGGACGTTCTACTTAATGATAGCATAGCTAAAAAACACATTTCAGGAATTAGAAAATCAGTCAAGCAGCGATGTAAGTGAATCAAATCCGGTGGCAGCTTGGACTGATATCAAAAAGGCTGTGGAAACAGCAGCGATATCTGTTAGTAAGGTAAACTATAAGGCTAGGAAGAAGCTGTGGATCTCAGTAGCATCCACCAAACTGATAGACGCTCGTAAACTCATCCAGCATGGCTCTGAACATAACGAAGAGCGAAGTCAGATTAGGAGCAGGCTTATAAAAAGCCTACGCGATGATCGCGAACAGTGGTGGTTAGAGAAAGTGAGAGAGATGGAAAAGGCAATACCGATAGGCAACAGTACAACTGTTCAGAATTATCAAGGAAACCGGCAACAAGAAGCCGACTGTAAGTGGGACTATCTCGGGAACGGATGTACTTATTATTCATTCTCAACCAAGATCGGAGAACACCCTAGGGATCAGTTCAGCTGTCCTTCAGAGATACTTCGGTTAGGACCACGGGAAGCAGCCTCAGGGTTACTTGAAACACGAACCGTAAACTGCGTAGTTTCTCTATCTGCACTCGGTGAAATCAAATTGATGATTTTACTCGGATCTTGTATGCGCGTATCGGAGACGCAACATACTTCGATTGCACGGGATTCCAGATTTTTAGCTAATGAAGTCTGTTGACCTATTCGGCACAATGTTCGAACATTTAAAGCTCCAATATGTCATTTAGTACGGGGTTTCAGGAGACCAGGAATAAGGTTTCGTGAGCTCAAACCGTCCGCTTCAGCGGTGCCAGGTGACAAACGTTCGAAAGAAAGGTTGATCGAGGAGATAACAGAATTATTAGGAAGTGTAGGAAGGATTTGATTGAGACCGATTTGGTCTCGTGTGCTTTTAAGGGTATGACGGCGGATGTTACTTCCCGGCTGTCCATACCGTGGAAGGGTTCTGGTTGTCAGAGGCATCGGCCTCGTGACTTTCGAAAGAACTCATCTTTCATCATGAAACGTCATAACTTTTCTAAATGAAGGCCTTGTAACTCCCAGTGCATAGTTTCAATGGTTTAAATTATTTCTTACTATGAGCGTTGTTGAGATGGTGGTTGAGACATATGTTACGAATGCCTAACCACCGACTGACTCGTCAAACTGTTTTGTGGTGTAGGACTAGGTAGGAAGAAAGCTAGGGGTGGCCAAACCAAAACATGATACAAATCCATGAAGTCACTGACAACAGGATTGAGTCATGTTGGCAAGTGTCGACTACCTGGTTGGAGCCCGCGAGATGGTTAGAGACCTTGAATGACATAGCTCAAAATCGTTTTCAATGGCACAGGTGCGTCCATTCTTTGCGTTCTCTCAAATCCCAATCCTTTGAATCCTTCAACACATTTATCTTATTCTTCTTAATTTTATTTCGCCGGATTATACTTCTCAATCCATATCTTCGAACCCTAATCTTTACGACTACTGCTAATACTAATACTACCTCTACTACTATGGGATTTGAATTGACAATTGCATCCTTGTGCTAATGTGGTATGGCAACTTGAACTTATGTACGTACGTTCGAAGTTCTACGTCGTAACTGACTGACTGGCTGTTTCTTCCATCTGACTGAATAATTCGCTAACTTACCTAGAACTATAGAGACATTGAAAAGATTTGAAAAATGGCATTGGGACTTATACATACTACAAATGTTTAAAAGTATGAATCAACAAGTCTACGTAAACTTGATTCAAAACTCTAAATAAGTCATTAAAATCACGAATACAAATTAGAATTAAGTAATATTTATCAACCGAATTAAAATTTTACTACGTCAAGGTACTATTGGATAAAACTACTATTTAATCATACACCACGATTCGATGGTTTGTCAAGTTAGTAGGAAGAGTTTAAACACAGAACTGAATATTACTTGGTTAGGACGAAGCTTATACTTATGTATTTGAAAAAACTTGGTTTTGATGAGCTAAATTGTGATGATTTTTACTCAAATAGTAAACACATCTTTAAAATGTGGTTTCGCCATCAATCATTAAATGAAGATATTGAATTTTTAGCAGCAAAGAACCACTTTGATGCATCAAATAAAGTACAGAGTTGTATGAAAACACTCGTATTCTACTAATTAGATCAAAGTTAGGTAAACATTAGACATGTTTCAATGACTCAGCTTTCAGAAATCAATCCGTTTAAGGACCAAGTCAACAAACGTTTTCTCAATCGAGTAGAACACTAGACCAGTATCCAACAAAGAACGAATAATATATAGAGACCGGTTTGTGGAGTGTTAGAATTTATCTTGATTTTCTGAAATGCTTTCTACAAAATTAAGTATCGAATAGATAATCTAAATACTCACGCTAGTGGAGATCATGCAACCCAAGATCTGAGCAGCAATAAACAATTGATTTACAACTTTAGTTGCTTCGTTGGCTTCAGATGAACCAAACACCTGAGAGGTGTTAGATGTAACGACCAAATCAACTATATCCAATTTATTAGGAGAGATTATATCTGGTGAATACGATGCTTTTCCCCGAAACGATACAAAAGGCATCATACTGATTAAAGACATATTTCCAACAGGTGATATTCGACTAAGTGCATCAGTTAAGCCGTTTGCAATACCAGTTAAAAGATGTTGAGTGTGTTGAGTGGCTGATTCTTCCAGATGTAATATTAATATTGGTATTAAACTGGCTGCTTTTAAACGTGTTGCTTCTTGCCAATCCGATAGATCTTTACATAAGCCTGGGAATAGTTTGGAAGCTGATCTGTAAACGAGCTCTCGACAACCTGTGAAAAAAAGTCTTCTAGTATATATTTACTATGGTATATCATAATGAAAATAGAATAATATGGCAGCGTAAAAAAACGGTTTATTATAGGGTGTTGTTGATATTTCAGTAATGACTTAAAGATAGGCAACAATCAATTGCTTGTGACTCCATATAGATTTATAAACTTTTGAAAATATATATATATATATTCGAACTAATGAACTAACATTGACGCTATGAATCGCCATTTTCGATATTACGGCGAATTTCTCCATAAGATCGTTTTATTGTTTGGGGAAACTTCCTAATAGATCCAATCTTTCATTAAAAACCTTAATAGTGAATCGAATGTAAAAATTGAATTTTACGTAGGATTAAATATACAAATCACCTAATTCATCCCGACTCGAGCGTTTTCTTACTAAGTTTTATAAACATGAGACAACCAAACCAAGACTTCTGGTTGGGAAAGAATGGCAGAACTTACTACCCATTAAATTAGTATGGTTGCTGATTAGCACTCATTAAGTTTACATATTCAAATCAACGGTCGGATTCATATAGTTGAAAGTATATCTATTCTGACAGGTAACATCTTGTCGTTAAATTTTACATGATATAGCAAATTACTAACCTATTTAACACTTCGGATTAAGTACGCATTATTGTGAACAAACTTACCAAGTATTGGCCGTTCGTACCCATACGGATAGTAAAAAGGGGGACCAGGGTCAAAATCTAGTTTGTCTTTCAGCTGGTCTTCATTTTCTTTCTCAAACTTAAGTCCTAAAAGCTTGCAAAGTTTAACCAACCCTGCTAACTTACCTATGTTGTGCCACAACTTCGAAGCGACTAGACGAATTTCATCCGATTCATCGATGAAACCAGACAGAAGTAGAGGCAGTAACTTTGTTTGATATGAATACCGATCAGGTAGATCTAACAACCATGAGCCTACCAGCTCAACAACAGCTCGCCGAACTGCTGATGATGAATCGAAAAGCCTTTGAGTTAGCGGTGCAATAACATTGTCAACAAGCTTTCCCTGACTGTGCATCAAAACCTTTTCCAGAGCGACAACAGTCTCCAACCTAACTTTTGAATGTTGATGTGTAAGGTTTGACAACATGGGCAACAAAATAGACTCCGAAATTTGATAAAAACGATGGCATTTCCTCTCGGACAAAACAACTGCTATTCTGCAAGACAATTTTTTAATTTCGTGATACGGATCCACAAGTGTCTTTTGAATTACGGAGATATAATCATCGAGAAATGGAGATATCTGGTCAGTTCTAGTTATCAATATATAAAGGAGGTCAAGTGCAGAGTATCGAATCTCTTCGGAAGGTTCAACTATTTCTTTCTGTCCTAAACGAGAAACCAAAACAGGTACTAATAACGGAAGCAAAGCCGTCAAATCTGTAGTTAAATCGATGAAGAGCTTTAGCACTTTTACTGCAAGTTCGCGATTAACCTCAACGGGATCATTTAGAGTCTTCGACAGGTGTTCTGCTAATGCGGTAGACGTGTTAAAAATAGTACTCTCTTTATCTCCGTTGGTATTTAAATACTCTTCCAAGCATTTTAGAGCTTTACGTCTCACAAACTTGTCCTCATCCGCTAACAGCGTGATGTATCGAGAAATACTACAAACACCTTCACCCATAATGTGGTAATTGATTTGTTGCACCTAGCAGCAACCGTACAAACAAATGCCAAGACTTACCCTCCGTCAGCCGAATCAATGTCCAAGGACTAATGTCTGGATCAAAAGCCTGTATAAACCAATTAATTTCCTCGCATTCACTTCTTGTTCTTCACTACGGTTGCAGTTATTTGGTAATGTCCAAAAAATTGAAGTCCATTCGCTAGACTGCACTAATTCTAATGAGATGGAAGTTCTTTTTCCGTTTGTATGTCCTGTGATTTCAGTGATAACATTTGTCTCAAGGGGTCTAGGTTTCTGGATACCAATGTGTATCATGAGAAATTGCTAATACCCAAGAACGCAGACGCAACCTTGACGTGGTGGTTGGGCTTGCATACCTTAATCACCCAACCGAGATATATTGGCTGGAACCTATGTTCTTTTAGGTCCTACCATGCGACGCAGGTCGATTGGAAAATGATAAGACTAAAAGCAGCAACTGAAGATCTGACGGCGAAGTCGTATTATTGTTGACTGCAGAGTGGTGTGACAGCACTTGCAGTGATTATGCCTTCTCAGGACGGAAGGAAGGGGTTAGAATAGGTCGACCTTCAAAATTTCACACCTCACCTTAACCCAGAGATTTCCGTCTCCGGCGGTAAGGACATTTGAGGAGCGGAGCTAACGAGTTAAAAACTCCCAATTAAAAGGCTGTCTCTAATCAGCTTCAAGCAGTCTTCTCTTTTGTGATGCGTTTTTGCTCTCAGGTCGCTATGATCAACGCTAATCCAACTTCATTTTCAGGTTGCTCAAGAAATACCCTTCCACAGTGTGGGTAGCCGAGAAGTGACATTGACCCTCGTACCCGCAACAGCACACGAGATCAACTTGCTTACGATCAAATCCTTCATTCACTTCTTAATAACCCTCTTACCTCCGTGACCAAACCTCACATAGCTTTATCACCTGGCACGGCTGATACAAACGATTAGAGTACACGAAACGTTATTACTGGTCTCTTGAAACCTGCAACAGCACATTAGATCAACTTGCTCACAATCAAATCTTTCCTATACCTCTCAATAACTTGACGGATTCATGTTGGTAGATTCAGACTACTTGGTTGGGGTCCGCGAGACAAGAGTAGCCGATGGTTAGAGACCTTGGATGACATGGTTCGAAATCGTTTGCATTGATGCATCCACTCCTTGTGTTCTCTGAAATTCTGATCTTCTGAATTCCTCACCACCTCTATCTTTCTCTTTTTGAATTGATTTCACTGAATTATACTTAGAACCCTAATCTCTCTGATTACTGCTAATACTGCTACTACCACTACTATTATGGGATTTGAATCGACAATTGCATCTCTGTGCTAATATGGTGTGGCAACTTGAACTGATGTACATGCGTACGATGTTCTACGTTGTAGCTAACTGACTGATTATTTATTCAGATATATGTTTAACTTTTTTTCACAATGTTGTTTGTTTTTTCTTACAGTTTTGGTGGCATTTACTGGAACCATGTCTTGATCGTTGCACTGAATCTACTGCACCATCATCATTAGCTGGACATTTACTCCTTTTATCTGGTTTACTTCGTGGTAGTCCACTGAATCAATTGATAAAAATCAACGAAATGAACGAGTTCAAACATAATTCATCATTGAATAGCTGTTCTGTTCTTATTGCTAATTCTCCCGTTAATAATAATAATAATAATAATAATAATAATAATAATAATAATGATACTGGCCTTAGTATTCATGATGAGGAAAGTAATGGGCATAACGATTGCCAAATTGAAAGTAATTACGTCAAGGAAACTTACACACCAACTAATTGTAGCCCATTACATAAGATTATTGCCTATCTTTGTCAAAATGAATTGGTTTCTGCCATGTCGCTTAGTTCTAAAGTAGGTCTATTAGAATGTGTCCAAGTGTGTATTAAACATATAGAAGAAGCGGTTGTTTTATTAAAACCGGAACCAAAACATCAATGGGATACTCTACAGCTGAATGATGATGGTCCTAAAAATGTTATTCACTGATCGCGGTTGCGTTAATGCAGTGACTAGCAGCGATTGATCAAGCCATAAACTTGGTTTCGCTATATAGACGACACGTTCGTCATCATCAGAATGAACGAGCTTGAGAACATCTACATGCAGATCAACAACGTCTTTGATGACATCAAATTCACTATGGAAAAGAAATCTAACAGCAGTCGATCATTCCTGGATTTACTAATCACCAGAACTAACACAGGAAAACTAGAGACTCAAGTTTTTCGGAAGCCAACCCACACATTAGTAATTCACAACTACGATAACAACAACCCGAAATCCCACAAAATAACTGCATACAAACTCCGTTCAAGAGAGCGAAGACACACTGCAGCACATACGAAACATTAAAAAAATGAGGAAAAACACCTGATGACTATCTTCCAAAAGAACGGCTATCCACGCAACTTCATCAAAAAACATCAACCAAAACCATCATCAGAAGTGAAATCAAGCACAGGAACAAATAAACGCATCATCCTACCATACATCAAAGACATATCGGAGCATACGGCACGACTACTAAAACCATTTGGAATAGGTGTGGCACACAAACCAACAGAATCACTTCAGGCAATCCTATTTAGACCAAGGGACAAAGTGACAAATGAAGAAAAACCAAGTATCATCCATAAAATAGATTGCTCAGACTGTGGAAAATACTTCATAGGACAAAGTGAACGTCCTCTTCTGCTTCGTTTACGTGAACACCAATTAGTAGTCAAACGCCACTACAACGCTTCGCTTATATCAGTACACATGGCCAATTATGGACCCACATTCGATTGGAACAATGTGGAAATACTGGGTAGGGGGAGGACAAAGAGCACTAGGGAATTTTTAGAAGCTCGGCACTCAGGTCAATCAGCAATCAACCAACACATCCACATTGACCCATCTTATCAACCAATCAGATAAATCATAGGTGACAAAAGATCAAGAAACAGATCAAAAGGGAGATGCAGTCAAAACAAATGTGCAAACAACGACAGCTTTAAGGTCAACAACAACCAATAAAGATCGGGATCAGCAGAACAAGCTACAGGTCAAGTATGGGGAAATTCGAATGCTTCACTTCAATCCGAAATTTGTGATTATGATGTTGTTCAGAAGAACTACGAAAGCTCCACAACCCAAAGATCCAGTTCACAGAACGAAATATCACCTAAATTGTCCATCTGAACCACAAATTTTCTCTACCATCTCGGTATGTTAGACTAAATACCTACGTAGCATATCACACTGCCGTTAGTTAACAAACTGTATAAATTGTAAGGTATGGGTCAGTTAACGGTCAGTTTGGAGATAGGAAGAAAAGGCAGCTGAAGAAAGAAAAGGAGGAAATAGAGTATTAAAAATTCGTGAATAAGACGATAAGTAGGTATGGAATCAAGGTGTTCGGGTGTTAGTGAATTAGGCAAAAAAATTTGACAGACTGGTAATACGTGAACTAGATGAAACTCACAACTATACAGGAAGTTTGATTTCCTTGTACTTACTTACTTACTTACTTTCGCCTGTTACCCCCAAAGGAGCATAGGCCGCCCACCAGTTTTCTCCAACCAACTCTGTCCTGGGCTTCCCTCTCCAGTTCTGTCCACTGTTTGTTCATTCCTCTCATATCTTTCTCTATTTCTCGGCGTAGTGTGTTCCTTGGCCTTCCTCTTTTCCTTCTGCCTTGAGGGTTCCATGTGAGGGCTTGTCTAGTGACGCAGTTGGGTGCTTTTCGTAGTGTATGTCCTATCCACTTCCACCGCTTCTTCCTGATTTCCTCCTCCACTGGAATCTGACTTGTTCTCTCCCACAGTTCGTTGTTTCTGATGGTGTCTGGCCAACGAATACGAAGTATTTTGCGTAGACAGCTGTTAATAAACACTTGTATCTTCTGGATGATGGCTTTGGTAGTTCTCCAAGTTTCCGCTCCATACAGTAGAACTGTCTTGACATTTGTATTGAAGATCCTGATTTTGGTTTTGTTTGAAAGTTGTTTGGAGTTCCAGATATTTTTCAACTGTAGAAATGCAACCCTCGCTTTGCCAATCCGCGCCCTCACATCTGCGTCCGATCCACCTTTCTCGTCGATGATGCTGCCAAGATATGTAAAGGTGTTGACGTCCTCCAAGGTATCTCCATCAAGCGTGATTCGGTTGGTGCATGTTGTGTTGCATCGGAGAATTTTGCTTTTTCCTTTATGTATGTTGAGACCTACTGCTGCAGAGGCTGCTGCTACACTGGTCGTCTTCTCTTGCATTTGTTGTTGAGTGTGCGATAGAAGAGCCAGGTCATCTGCGAAGTCCAGATCGTCCAGCTGCGTCCTAACTGTCCAGTTGATACCGTGCTTCCCTCCAGATGTTGACGTCTTCATAATCCAGTCGATGACCAGGAGAAAGAGAAAGGGTGAGAGTAAGCAACCTTGCCTCACACCGGTCTTCACCTCAAAAGAGTCTGTCAGCTGACCTCCGTGTACGATTTTGCAGTTGAATCCATCATAAGAATTCCGTATGATGTTGACTATTTTCTCAGGCACACCGTAGTGTCGAAGAAGCCTCCACAGTGTTTTCCTATCCACGCTGTCAAATGCTTTCTCGTAGTCGATGAAGTTGATGTAGAGTGGTGAGTTCCATTCAATTGATTGTTCCACAATGATCCGTAATGTAGCAATTTGGTCAGTACATGATCGATCCTTACGAAATCCAGCCTGTTGATCTCGAAGTTGGGCGTCTACGAAGTCCTTCATTCTGTTTAACAATACTCTGTTGAAGACTTTGCCTGGTATTGAAAGAAGAGTGATGCCTCTGTAGTTCTCACACTTGCTGAGATCGCCTTTCTTTGGTATTTTGATGAGGTATCCTTCTTTCCAATCTGATGGTACTTGTTCCTCATCCCAAATCTTCTTAAAGAGAATGTGAAATATTTTCGCAGTTGCTTCCACATCTGCTTTCATTGCCTCTGCTGGAATATTGTCTGGTCCCGCTGCTTTGCCGCTCTTGATTTGTCTGATGGCTATACTGATCTCCTCAATCGTGGGTGCGCCAATATTAATTGGGAGGTCCGTGGATGCTGCTTCGATGTTGGGTGGGTTCAGTGGAGCTGGTCGATTCAATAGTTCCTTAAAGTGCTCCACCCACCTATTTCGCTGTTCGTCAGTGTTGCTGATTATTTTCCCTTCCTTGCTTTTCACTGGTCGTTCTGGTTTACGATAGTCCCCGGCGAGCTTCTTTGTTGTTTCGTACAATTGTCTCAAGTTTCCTTCTCTTGCAGCCTTTTCCGCCGTCATTGCTAGATCTTCCACATATTTTCGTTTGTCAGCTCTGATGCTCTTCTTCACTTCCCTGTTTGCTTCTGTATACTCGGCTTGCGCCTTAACTTTCTCTGCTCTTGTTCGGCAGACATTGATAGCTGCCTTCTTGTTCCTCCTTTCTTGAATTTTTTCAAGAGTACCAACAGAGATCCATTCCTTGTGATGGTGCTTCTTGCGACCAAGGACCTCCTGACATGTTGAAGTGATTGCCTCCTTAATCCCTTTCCAATTGTTCTCCAATGTTGCTTCCTCTCCATTGAGTAGATCCTTAAAGGCCTGGAACCTATTGGTGAGGGCTATCTTGAATTCGTTGAGTTTTACGGTATCCCGAAGAAAGGCTGTATTAAACTTGTGTGATGTTGTCTGCCCCGTTGTCCAGTGCTTCTTTAGCTTCAATCTCATTTTGGCGATCAGCAAATGGTGATCTGAAGCTATATCAGCTCCTCTCTTGGTTCTCACATCCTCCATGGTCCTTCTGAACTTTTTGTTGATACAGATATGGTCAATTTGGTTTTGAGTAGTGTGATCCGGTGAAATCCATGTCGCTTTGTGAATGCGTTTGTGTGGGAATATTGTGCCACCGATGACCAGTTTGTTGAAGGCACATAGGTTTGCAAATCTCTCACCGTTTTCGTTTCTTTCTCCCAGTCCATGTCGTCCCATGATGTCTTCATATCCAGTGTTGTCCATTCCAACCTTGGCATTCAGGTCTCCCATAAGAATCGTCAAATCCTTTGGTGAACATTTATCGACGATTGACTGCAGCATTTCGTAGAATTGATCTTTAACGTCGTCATTGTAGTCATTGGTAGGTGCATAACATTGGATGACGTTCATTGTAATGTCCTCTTTCTTCGTTTTGAAGGATGCTTTAATGATCCTGGGTCCATGAGATTCCCATCCTATCAGTGCCTTTTGTGCATGTTTGGACAGCATCAGTGCAACTCCTTGTGTATGTGAAGCGTTTTCCTCTTCATGACCAGAGTATAACAGCAGTTCCCCTGAAGCTAGTCTCAGTTGTCCTACTTGTGTCCAATGCGTTTCACTGATTCCAAGCACCTCGAGGTTGTATCGTTTCATTTCTGCCGCAACTTGAAATAGTCTTCCAGTCTCCCACAATGTACGAACGTTCCATGTACCTAAAAAAATGGTTGCTCTGGTTGTCAGAAGAGGCATCGGCCCCGTGACTTCCGAGGGGACTCGGCTTTCATCACGAGACGTCATAATTCTTCTTCCAACTCCCAGGGCAGAGTTAAAATGGTTTGAATTATTTTTTCTGGTTAGCGTTTTTTTGGCAAGTTAGATTTCAACGGAATGGGGCCGCCAACCCCATGTCCAACCCTCCTCCTTTATCCGGGCTTGGGACCGGCAGTAGCCCCTAAGGTTCTACTGGCGGAGTTGATTTCCTTGTAACTGACAATAATTGAGCAGCATCTACAGGCTTTTAAACTTACTTGTCTACCAGGAATATAAACTAAGAGTGCTGGGAAAGATAAGAAGATAATGATACGAATTTAAATTTTGAGAAAGCTGATGTCGCGGCCAGCACCTCAAAAGGTGTAGCATTTTACTGTAAGCTGGAGTAGGAGGATTCGTCCATCATTTCGTGACACCTGTGTGGATGGATTTGAGGGGGCAATATATTGATGGTCTGTTATTGATTTCTAATGTAAATTCAAATTTT